CCAAGCGCACTGTCCCAGGCTGTGAAAGCCAGCTGTACCTAGACATTGTTGTGGCTGACGAAGAAAACAGGCACATTGTGATGGTCAATGTCAACATCCCATTTGAGACCTGGCAGCTGGCTTTCATCAAAGCCTGCAAGCGGGAGCTGGCAAAGTACAAGCCATTAGTGGACACTATGAGGAGCCAGGAATATGAGATGATGGTTGTGGCACTGATCTGATGAGCACTCAAAGCATGGGAGCCCAGCAACAAGAGGATTCTGTGTGCCTGCTGAGTATCCTGCTACTATGCCAAATTAATGAGGTGCCTCATGGTGTCTGACACCCTCAGATGGTCGAGGGACATCTATGTCAAGCACATTATGGGTGAGCATCAGTAGGTGGACTCCAGGCCACTGGCCAGAAGCTGCCTGACCACCCCCTCAAAAACAGATCATGACTAAGAACTCTTATGCCTGGACTGTACCTCACCTCCACAGTTGTACCTTATAGTGTTACTTGTATCTGTGTATGTCCTTTAAAACCCATCACTCTGTAATGATGTGGATTGCTTGTGCAGGACATTTTATATCCTCTCTTCTTTGTAAATGTGGTGCGTTTAGCTCCCAAGTTCCTCACCCTAACCCACCGCTGCATTAAGTATGCTACATTTTGCTATGTAGTTAGTTGCATACTCCCCTCACCCACTACTATGTAGCCACTTTGTATTTCCTTTTACCCCTTCATCTTTGGAACTCCCCTTTTAACATTCACTAATAAAGTTAAATCTGTAGGGTTCTTGTCCTAGAGAGATCACACAAAGAAAACAGGGGAACCATACTTATTAACAACAGCTGAAACTTCCCAATATTATATGGATAAAATGGAACAACAAACATCAACCCTAGATAATGCAATTCAAGCAGTACCCTCTGCTGATAGAATGCAGAACATGCATATAGAATGCAAAACTCAGTACACAACATTTATTATCTTATACGCAATGTTACTCTTTGTAATCTACTAGGAAAAGGAACTCCATGCTGTCCTGGCTAGATTAATTCCAGAATCTGGCTGTCATGGGCATCTCCACACCTGTGATATCTGTGGTGTAGTGGTAACTCATGTGAGCATTTGTGTATCAAATGTGACAGAGCTCCTATGTTAACAGCAGCATGCCATCATGTAGTTCAGGGGCAGGCAAATACCGCTTGTGGGTGGTATTTGGCCCATCAGGCACTTTCAGCCAGCCCTCGTTACCCACCAATGAGCTGTACCCTGCTCAGCCCTTCTGTCCATGAGGATTGGAGTGAGGTACTCAGGTATACACCCCTCCGCCCCAACATACCCTATTGTGCCTTACTCTTATCCCCATGAGTGGAAGGGTCCAGCCAGCACACAGCTTCTGGGTGGCACTGCTGCTGCTGCAACTGTTGGGGACCTGTCCTGCTTTTCTGGTGCCCTGCTGGATCCAAGCAGCAGGTAGGGAAGTGGTGCGGGCAGTGCTGCAGCTGGGCTGGAATGTAGAGCATGGGGATGGGTCTGACAGCAGTGTGGAGACCACACCCAGGGGGGCAGCGTGTGAGTATGAGGGGTGGGAGGGTGTGAGGAATCTCTCTCACACTCTCTTCATGGTGTGCAGCCCTGGCAGGCAGTGGCAGCAGCAGTACCAGGCAGGGGCACTTGGGGCGCTCATGCCCAGTACCAGCTCCAGGCAGTGCTTCACATTGCAGTGAGAAGCACAGCGTCTGCTGGGCCATCTCTATTACCAGCACTCCCCACCATGTATGCACAGCCTTTTCACTCATGCAACATGGGAAGCAAGCCCCACATGCTGGAGCTAGCTGGGGTGGAGAAGGCAGCCAACTCCAGTGCATGGGACATCCCTCTCCTGTTGTGTGAGTGCAGGGGCTGTGCATGCACAGCAGGGAGCGCCTGTGATAGAGATGGCTTGGTGGGGGCTGCATTCCTCACCATGATGTTCAGTGCTGGCCCCACCAGACATGAGCACCTCAAGTGCCCCTGCCAGTGGCTGCACCATAGGGGGGGTGGGAGAGGGTCCTCAGACCCCACAAACAGCACACACCCATACTCTGCTCCCACAACCTCTCACATATATACAGCCCTCCAACATACCCTATGCCCCCACCATTCACAGCCACACACACACACACACACACACACACACACACCCAACCACACCCCTACACAATATACAAGGCTAAGAATATATTTTTGAGTTATTATGCAATCACCTCTATATACAGTTAGCAAACACATATCATGACAAAAATATTTTTTGTAATAAAATTAAAATATGTTATAGTTAGTGTTTGACTTTTAGTGTATGATTTGTTTTTTTTTTGTTTTTTGGGGTTTTTTTTCCTGGTTCTAAGATAGCAACTACCCCTCCCAAAAGGTGTATTTCCAAGTGCAAGAGGACTTCTGGTGGCAAAGATCTGAGTTTAGGGGTGGAACTTTCAGTCCCAAAGTGGTGACCAGGGGGCAAGGCGACTGTCAAGGGGTGGGGCTACCCATGTGGCACTTGAAAGCTCACCAAACCTAGTTAAGTGGCCCTCCACTTGAAATAATTGCCTGCCCCTGATGTAGGCAGTCCATAATATATATGCACAAGGAAGTTGACTTAAGATTCAACAGTCAGCTTTCATTTTGGCATTTGATGTTTCCTCATTTTTGAGTCATTATCTTTATAACATTAAAAATGTTCTTTTAACATAGTTTTTTATTGTATAATATCTAATTGTGGCTCTTTGTCAAAGGTAAATTAAGCAGGTTGTGAGGACCCTCCTGCCTGCAGACAAGTCCCTAACTAGTCCACAGCTATGGCATGATTCCTACAAATGTTTGAGCACATTAGTAATCAAATAGAACTTCTTTTATGAGCTCAGTTCCTTGAATGCTTAAAAGATGGTAGGATTGGACAGTAAATCCATAGCTGAATTCTGTTTTACTGATATGAAGATTGTCATTGAGTTGAAGGTACTAATTCTCTACAAAGCCTCTAATTTACATTAGGGGCTTGACATTGGGCCTTTGGCATTTACAATCCAATGAAGAAAAATAGGCAGAGTGAAAAAGTGGTTTATCTCTTCACCTTGAAATGTGATAAGAACCGAGAAGGATTTTAACCTTCAAAATATTTTAAATCAGTTAATATAGGTACATTTACTACTTGACTGAATGATTATATTTTGAATCTATTCTTTGCAGCTAAAGGCTTTGTAAAATGACAGCTAGAAAATCTTGGTTTCAAAACTGACCACTTTGAATGGTTTAAATGCGAGTTTGAATCACTTGTAGCTTATTTTTGATGTCTGAAAGTTAATTTTGAATTAAGAACATACGATTCAAGTGTGCCCTGAAGGAAAAAAAATAGACCATACACAGTCTGTTTTCAAAAGTTAATTTTCACTAGGTGCATGCCCTCTGAAAATGATCTTGAAAAAATTGAAGTCTTAATGGAACATTTCATTTGCTCACAGCACTTAAGCTTCTGGGGCTTGGGTTCTGGTTCAGTCAACAAACTAATTGGCACATTCAGTAGCAGTTACATCTATTAGAGATTACAAATAAGGATTCCAAGGGACAAGAGGTTGGGAGGGGTCTTGTACTGAAAATAGAAGCAGTTCTCCTGTGTTTGTTTTACAGTGTTTCTGTCTTCACCCACTGTGACAGTGAGATTATAAAGCATGAAGCTGAATGTGGTATAGGCATTTAGAGTTGCTGACTCTCATTGCTTATTACTGGCTTAATAGGTTAGCTCTAATGAGCCCATTCACTAGCTGTTTCTTCATACAGAATGTTCCAAGCTAACAATTAATTTGAAATTCTGTTAGGATAGGGGAGGGAAGGTGGTAAGATTCATCTCTACTTAGGGGACATGTGATGATGAATGTGCTGAAACTCACCCCTGCTGCTTATGCAAAAAGATGTGGTGAGACATTTCAAAATGAAACAAGCTGGCTTAAATATCCTTCTATATTTGGAACAAATATTTAGCATACAGCAATAGCAAATGTCTCATAATAATCAAAACATAATAGAAATGAAGATGTACTGTTTATTAAATTTGAATATGTTCCTGTTGTTCATATCTGAAAATAGCTACTATGTGATTTGCTCTGGATAATAAACATGTTTTTAGGGATAGTATTCTCTGTCTGAATTATCAAGTATTTAAACCTAAAACATAAATGTTTTGAATAGTTTGCTGCATCTTCTATATCACAAAGCAATAATAAAATGATATAAGAAATCTACTACAAAAAACTAAAAGAGTTTCTCTAGTTTTTACAGTACCAAAATTCATAATGCTTAGCTAGCAGATATTTTTAACTTGTTTCTTTCAGTAAGTGAAGCAAGGGTATTGATTGCATGTAAAAAAAAAAAAAACAGGGTTTTTCTTTTAATCCGTTGCCCTTCTACCTACCTTTCAAATAAAGTACAGGGGCAGATTTTTTATTTTACAAAATTGCTGTTTAAAATTTATGTTATAATAATTTCTCTTTACTAGGTGGAAATCCAGAGTCCTGGATAAGAGTTCTTGGGTTCACTTTAGCTCACAACTGAAGTGAAACAGGGTATCAAGAATTAAACTACTTTTGAGAGCAGAGAAATATATATACTAACTTATCCATAGGGAATATTAGATGGCAAAATGCTCTGAAATATGCAAGTGTTTTAACATATAATTGACAGGAGATTTTTGAAAACATTCCCTTGTTTTAGAGTTAAAAGATTAATGGCACTCAAATAAACACGATATACATAGACTGATGAAAAGTTACATTTCTGAGTACTTGATCCTGCAAACACTTAAGCATATGAGTGAGTTAACTCATGAACATTATCACAAAACTCAGTGGGAATACATAAATTTATTTACATGTCTAAGTGTTTCATAGATATGGCTATAAAATGAGGAGTAATAGGTCAAGACTGCTTTTATATACATATGTATTCAGTATAGATATAGTCATTTTTTTTTCCATTTCTTCTAGGCTTTTTCAGGAAACACAAATGCAGACAGTGTTGTGCACTATAAGCTCCAACATTCCATCAAAGCAAGATTTCTTCGTTTTGTCCCCTTGGACTGGAATCCTAATGGTAGAATTGGAATGCGTATTGAGGTTTACGGATGCTCGTATAGTAAGTGTTTGCTGAATCAACTAAATTAAATGACTCTCAATCAATGCTTGTTTCTTAAATTGCAAAAGAAAATAGTTTTATCAGCTTGATTGCTATTTGAATATTATTTGACTTTATTTGATATTTCTGTATCCTCTAGAAATCCATATTATATAGCTGTTTCTATACAGAATTGAGTAGTATCAAAAATGGGGACAGCTACACTTCAGTAATGCTGATACACCCCAAACTCCTATTTGATGCCATTACAAAGATCACTCATAAAGATTGCACTCTGTTCAGAGGGGTAAATATCCACCACTTGAGCCACATAAACCAACTTGAGGACCATTGATCTTGGCTTCACAGAAACCTGACAATTTTTGCAGAAATGCTGGCCTGCCACAGAAACCAATGAGATATCAAGGACATGATTTATTTTATGTGTACGTACATTGTTTATGTAGCATTAACTAGAGGTTACTGGATGTTATAAGCATATTTCAGAAATTACTATGTTTTCATTTATTGTAAGCATCCTATTGATCTGTTGAACACTATGGTCCCAATTCTGTTTTTGCCTCTAAGGAGCCTCTGTTTAAACTTGCAAATTTCCCCAAACTTGGCCACCTCCTTCAGGATAGCTAATCCTGTTCCAATCCAAGGGATCCAAATCCCTCATTCTCTCGATGGCTAAGCCCCCTTTCATCCCAAAGGCTAATCCTTTTGTACTCTGCAGTAGCCAATCCTATTTTGTCCAAGAGAGCTGCACATGTGTATTCCCCATTTTTTCAATAGCCAGACTTGTGGAAAAGCTAACATGCTTCCATCATGTTTGGATTTAGTTTACCCAAGTCACTAAGAGGGTGATGTTCCATTCAGATCCAGTTTACTTGGAGGGATGCCTACCCCTCAGACAAGGGAGAAGGCCCACTATTTTTTTTTCCTTAAAAAAAATGTCTAGGGAGTGGGAAACCTAATTTTTAGGCCATCCTCATCCTGTTACTTTTAGGGTGATACCCTAAATTTCAGGCCATAAACAATATGGGAATGAAAGCTCTCTTGTTGTTGGTGAGCCTCTGGGCAGTCAAGAGTGAAAGAGACTTGGGGGCACAAGAAATGCAAGCAAGAAAGTGTTAATTTGTGGCCCAATGTGGTAGGTACTGCTTATGGATGGAGGGAGGAAGCCGTCTGTTCTGGGCCCTGTTCCTAATGCTGTTTATCCATTTTATCCTATACTATGTAATGTCTATACCATTCAGGGAGCAAATAAGAGGGAGTGTGGCTGTACAGTAGGGCTTTGCGAAATGGCACCGTTCCATTTTGACTTGCTTTGATGGGACAGTGTTTTGTTTCAATTCAAAACAGCTGTTCTATTTTGTTTCATTGAAACAGTGATGCTGTTTTGATACTGTTTCACCCATAGGCTATAATGGGGAAGCTCAAAACAGCCTCTCTCATCCAGCAGGCAGATCAGGGACCCGCAACCCTGGTAGGGAAGCTGGGTGCTGCCACCTCAGACTGGTGAGCTGGGGAGGAGAACTGGTCCGATTGCTCAGTTCCCCTCCCCAGTGCTGTGATCCACTGGGCTGGGGAAGGAAGCTAAGTGCTCAGTTCTGGGCTTGGTTCCCTTCCCCTGTATTGTGATTGGCTTCCCGCAGCCTGGCCACAGGAGGCAGGGAGAGCCAGGGCTGTGCTCTTGGCTGAGTCACATGGGACTGTGGAGCTGCTGGGAGCACAGCACTGGCTCTCCCTTGTCTCCCACCTGGCTGCTGGCTGCTTCAAAACTCAAAAAATTTCGAAATTTTTGAAACATTTCGACTTGCCTCGTTTCATTTTGAGGCTGTTTTGAAGTCCTTCATTTCATTTCAATTTCACTGTTTTGAGCTCAAAATGAGTTG